GAGGCTCTTCATCATGCCATATTCTTTTAAAATTTATCATATTCATCTACTCAACTATTGTTAAAGCCAATTTGATAACTTTTTCAGAAAAAATAAATTTTTATGGCACAATAAAGCTCAAACCGTACCGTCTTCTTTATTTTCAAATGTAATTTTACCAAACATTTCAAAGTTAACTTAAAAGGGGAGATGTGACATTATCTATATATAAGAACTGTAACTGCATATTATGTTTAACAGAGTTATCTTTCTTATATGTCTGTATGTTGTCACCAGTAATTAACTAGTTCTCATCGCCATCTTTGAGTCTGATTGTGCTACAACCATGAGTGCCGAGTATGGGACAAAATTTGTTGCTCTTCATCGGCAAGTGGTTGGCGTCTCCATATGAGTGAAAAATTCTCGAGAGGACGTTTAACAACATACAATCAATCAATCGATGTCTTAATAATGAAGTTTACCTGTAGTTAGCTGTAGTATAAAATTAAAAATTTTAATTGGAACCTTAATTTACTATAGTAAAAAACAACATTGGAACTTTAATTTGCTGTAGCAGAAAGGTTAGAACTTTAATTTCGTGTAGCGAAAGCCTTTTGAACTTTGATTTACTATAGAGTAGACTTTGATTAACTTTAGTAGAAACTTTGGAACATTTATTCACTATAGTAGAATTTTTGACTTACTATGGTAAAAAAATATGATTTTCTAATGGTAAAAAAACTTAAATACATTGATTAACCATAGTAAAACCCCTGGATTTTTTTTATTCCCATTCTTGTCATTTTATGATATTTCAACTCAATGAGGGGTGAAAAGGGAAGGGATCCTAATTCCTAGACGTTTGTAGGCTAATTCTGACGAATTATTATAAAATGTATTCACTATAAATGATTATTTATAAATGCAAAAAAGTCATCTGTTTTGAAGTAAAAAGATAGAAAAACTACTTAACACATGGTCATTTTAAATATATTTTTTTAAATTTTCCGGAATGTGCAGCGTTATTAAATCATATACTGAAGCAAACAAATAAAATACTTTAGATCCAGGAATCTGTTCTTTTTCTGTATTTTTCTGTATTAAACTATTTTATTTGTAAACAGCTAAAGAGAGTGGTTGAAGGCAAAATAGGCATGCATATTACAAAACTGGTAAAGGATCTTCTAAACTTTGGGGCGAAATAACTTGCCATCCTTCTAGCGGCCTCTTTCGCCTTGCATAATTTACAAATCCCGAAAGTACAATTTACATTTCACAAGTTGACTAATTGCAAGTCTACGAATTACACGTGATCATTGACATAACTTACAAGTTATGTTGGCGAATTTACAATTAACAAATTGTGATAGAACAATCGACAAATTATGAAATTATGATTTACAATTTACGAATTAAGGTTTAAATGTGTACATTTTATGAATTACAGCGTTGGAATTTTGAATCCGTTGGCTTTGCCTAGACTCTCGCATTGTTAGACAAATGTAGGAACATTTTATCTAATCTTCATAAATGTCTTCATATTTTCAAATGTAATGTCAAGCAGAATAATGATATTTGACGTTTTTTTAAACACTATTGTGACATAGGCCACAGGTTATACGAAATAGAATTTTTTCTATCAATCAAATGACGCGTTACAAACAAAACTTCTGAAATGAATTATATATATCTAATTTGATGCAGAAGTTGTTTCATTTTTATTTACAAAGGAAAATACTATTAAATAATTAAATAGAATTTGTGTCGTTAAGAAGCAAAATACCGACCCCATCATCTTCGATAATTTTGGTTTACATTTGTAATAAGGATGGATAACTCCAAAAATTAAGATTTAATTTGAAATGCAACAAAATGAAGCTTGAAAATAATTTTTTTTTCATGCAAAAATTTTCATTTTATTCAATCTTAGAAAAGGTCTAATATAAGTTGACATTTGTACCCTATAAAGGGGAAAAAATAATACAGTTTTAGAGGAATAAGATTTTCTTGAATCTAGCTTTAAATACCAATGCTTATTAGAATGATATGGAATATGAAGTGAATTGTAGTGTTTTGCATTGTTAGCAAAAGCCTTTTACACTATGTTTTATAAAATATATGACGGAAATAGAGAACAAAAAAACTAAATAAGTATAAAAATCATGACATTTTCTCTGAATACCTGGATACATATCGTTTTTTATGCATCAGGATCGATAGATCCAGGGCGTATTTTGTTTTTTTCCTGTCGGTATGTTTGTTTGTTTGTTTGTTTGTCTCGAAATTTAACCTTCACAATAACTTTTGAACCATGAAAGAAAGAGACTTCATATTTTGTATGCATACTCCACTAATTAAGCTCTTTCAAATGAAACCAAGGTCAATGACCTTGTGACCTTAACTGTGGCCTATATGCTAAAAATAGCTTTTTTCTGCAAACTTTAACCTTCGCCATAACTTTTGAACCATGAAAGATAGAGACTTCATATTTTGTATGCATACTCCACTAATCAGGTTTTTTCAAATGACACCAAGGTCAATGACCTTGTGACCTTGACTGTGAACTTAATGCTAAAAATATCTTTTTCCAAACTTTGCTGCCGCCGGGTGCATAGTTTTTCGCAAACACATCTTGTTTTAGCCTAAAATATATCTGTTGATCAATTTGCAATAAGACAATGCATTGCTTATATTCCAATTCGCTTTTCTGCAAAAATATTTGAGATTTGACAATTTTCCCTATGTAATAAGATTAACTTAAATCTTTTACCATAAAGAAATACTTTGAATAAATTTACATTACTTTGTGGATTCAGAGATAGTTTTATGAATATTTTTGAGTAATTAACTGCTAATTTTACAAACCGTAGGATCGGACTGCCTTAAAGTGTGTGTAATAGAAATATTGGATTTTATCATATAATTATCTTTTTTTTCATCGTGGAAAAAAACTTAAAATGCAAGGCACAAGCATGTTGTTTTTTCCCAAAGAAGAGATATCGGTGATTCACCATGTCCGATTTCATGGAATTCAATATTTAATTATCTCAAATGTTTCCGCTATCACTCTATTATGCTATTTTATTCGACGTAATTGTATAAAATAAAATTAACCATGGATAAAACCAGAAATCGCGGGAATATATATATATATATATATATATATATATATATATATATATATATATATATATATATATATATATATATATATATATATATATATATATATATATATATATATATATATATATATATATATATATATATATATATATATATATATATATATATATATATATATATATATATATATATATATATATATATATATATATATATATATATATATATATCCCCTGGCTTATATCAGGAGCAAAGTGGTCTTCTTAAGTCCCACCTATGCAAAAGAGGCTACAATGCCCGCAACGTACAAACAGCTATTGATGAGATGGCGGGACATGACAGGCAAAACCTATTACGCTACAAAGAGAAAGAAAATAGCGGTAGGGTCCCTCTGGTAACCACATACCATCCCGTCCTTAAGAACCTAAGCGGTATCCTTCAAAAGAACCTACCAATTCTCCATTCAAACAAACGAATGGCAGAGGTCTTTAAGGAACCCCCATTGGCTGCATACAGACGCCCTAGGAACCTAAAGGACATGGTAGTAAGAACCAGACTGGACAACCCATTACCTAACGGGGGCTTTAAGACTTGCTCTGACAGAAGATGTCTTCTTTGTAAGCACAGCACTGACACAGACAGTTTTAACAGCCCTGTTACAGGCCGCAGCTACAAAATACCAGGAAGTTTGTCCTGTCATACTGACAACTGCATTTATCTCATCAGTTGCAAAGTTTGCTCCAAACAGTATATTGGTGAAACAGGAGATCTCCGCAGGAGAGTCAATAACCACCGTTCGACCATTAGGACCAAAAAACTCAATGAACCCGTTGGGGAACATTTCAACCTTGAGGGTCACAAATGGGAGGACATGACAGTAGTGGTGATTGATCATAACCCAAGATGGACAGACGCTCAGAGAAAAAGCAAAGAAAAGTTCTGGATGCACAGATTGAAGTCATTCCGCCCCAATGGTATTAACAAACTGAATGACTTCACCAGAATGAATGTAAACTAGACCCTATTCCTGATGATACCAAACAAGATTATTCTCTCAATTTAGTGTAAACTCCACAGTAAATTTGCGTCACCAACTCTCGAACAACCCACATAACTATGTATTGCTTACGCCTTTGTTAATTAATTATTAATTATTTTTTACCGATAATCAGTCCTAAAACATTTCAAATTAAAATTTATAATAGATCATAATTCATATGTTAAAATGCCCCTTCTATATTATTTTTCTTTGGTTATTCTTTATCAAGTATAGTTACGCCATTTTGAGAGAATGAAACAATGTACGATTTACTGATTGTCGTAATTAATTAGCATAATTAATTCGTTCAATTATGTAAATCGCACTTCACCCGAGTATACCCGATAGACCGGACGCATTTCATAGCGGTCCGGATTCTTTCTTTAATAGTGTTCTTAAAAATTTCCAAATCAACATGTAACTTAGTATGTAAATATATAGTGTTTAGTAGTTTAGTAGTAGTGCTAGTTGTTTTTTGTTTCGCTTTTTCCTTTGTTCTTATGACTTTTTAACTCTTTTCTTTGTCCTGAGGAAGGGACAGGGCGTCCCGAAAATTTGACAATTTTTATTGTTCGTGTCGTTGGTCATTTTTAGTGCTTTTTATAAATTTCCATCCGTGACCTTGTATCTACTTGATAGATCCGACATTTAGGATATACAGTGTTGTTGGTTTTTTAGTGCTTTTTATATATATATATATATATATATATATATATATATATATATATATATATATATATATATATATATATATATATATATATATATATAAAATAAGGTTGTTCTCGCTACCTTCCTTATGTTAATAATGCAATATCTAACAGCGGCAGGAATATTAACATGACTTCACGCGACGTTTCAGCTACACATGAAGCGCAAGTGCACGTCGAATATTCTATTGAGCCTGTTACATGTACAGCGATTAACTCCGAGTCCATCACCGATTCAAAAGTGTCTGGTAGGAAAACTTACATACGGGAACCGCTTACGTTAAAGTTACTTGTTTCTTTAATATTAAACTTTGTTTTTATTGTTCTAATTACATGGATTATCTTCAATGGCCGTGATGCAAAGTTTAAACATAACAATGTTTGTAAGACTAGCAGATGTGTTTCCTGTCATGTAACCACAGTTTTTGTTGGAAAGAATATCTTCTCTACGAATTTTGGACTTTCCTTGAATTTGCTAATTAGGGAGGTGAATATTTTTCTTTTTTCTAATTGTTATTTTTGACTTTATAAAAAATTTATTTTTCATTTATATTGTGTGGATATTAAGTCTCATAACTTTATTGTATACGCAAATTTGCAGTATTTTTCCTCCTTTCAGATGTTAACAGCTGAAAAGATCTCTCAGAGGAAGAAATATCCCTTGGGAGAAATTTTGTCTTATGTCTACACCTTACCTCTTAACGCAGGTATGAACAAACAAGGAAAAGATTAATATTTTTGATGAAATTATTTAGTTGATTTTATCATGATTATTATACGTAGAAATAATTACTAAATGAAATTTCAGATGTTCTGCCATTTAGGAATGTGGCCCCTCGGCGATTTTATAAATTGGATGAATCAAGTATAAAAGGTAATACAACAATATCTGTTAAAAAATCGGGAAGGTTCAGGATATTTGCTGGCGTGATCGTATGGACTGGAGGAGACCTATGTCCCACACCCACCAAAAACTTTGCCCAGGTCACGTCTATGGATCCAAAACTAAGACGGAGAGTGTTATTGCAGAAAAGATGGACTTGCTCACCAAGCGAATCAATACGGTCGATCCATCTGGGAGAAATCATTAGTTTATCTAAAGGCAGCATTATTTTTGTAGAACTCTTGAATATAGCTCATATCTATGTGTCATTTCCTGGTAACAATTTAGGAATAATACCGATTTCTTATTCTTAAAATTTATCTTTTATCTTGAAATGAAATTATATCAGCAATCTAAGCATTCGTTCATAAATCACACATAAAAAAAAAATGCAATTTCCAGTTTTTGTACCGTCTTCCGTGCAATCGCATCATCTCGGGTCTTTCCGTCGGAGGTCGGAAAAACAACCTCGTATGTATTAACATCACCGGATGTTAAAAATTTATAGATTTCCTGTTTATTCAAATATAGGATAGAGTGAGTTAGAAGTCCCTTCTATAGTATATTTTAGGTAATATCATTACATTGAATAAAGTTAAACTCCATATTCCACAGATAAAAGGTCTCCGTGCATTTATTTCAAAGATCATGAAAAGGGAGGGTTGTAATGGCGTCTACCATATACATTCGAGGTCGTTTTTCCGCTAGTCAGAGCTAGGCCCGAGAAGTTGCGATTGGTCTTCCGTGTTGTACACTGCTGAACACCAATGAATAATCAAAGTACTGAAAGTACCGGGAAGCGGTCAGCATGCTTGCTTGGGGAAATAATAGGCAGAAAATGTGCAGGTGTAGATAAATTTCACTGATGAAGATTACTATAAAAAATAAAAAGGTCTTGGTGTCAAATTTTAGTGCAATTTGAAATTGATAAATTCTTTGAAATTAATTCCCTATTTGCACGACGACGCCTAAGAAATGAACAAAGATTCTGCAGTGATTGAAAGACTGAAACTATTGCTGTTCCATCAGGAGTACAAAGTCCATCTTCTCCTCTACTATGAAAACCAAAAACAAAGTAACAACCAGATTGAGAATGTAGCAACTGCTGCAGAATGGAAAATGATAATGCATGCATCTTTACGCCTGGACATTGCAAAAACTGGATTCCAGTTGGATTCCTAGTCTATCTATGCCACCTACAATTGACATGGATCCAAAACTTGGTTTCATTTTCCTGAATGTAAAACAATTACCCTCATAAATAATAAAATCAGGCAACTCTTCATACAATAGACCATTAACTTGATCTTCTGCGTGTCACCCCTCATCAATATTTTATTCATGTCATGTGTACTTTAATCATCAATAGTTACTCTTTAGCAAGGATTTCATCATGATTGTTATTCAATTTGTAACACACTGCCTACCCCTTGAATTAAAAGTAAACCTATCATCACCTTGACAAAAATCTACACATACAAAATTATTCATTGCTGTAGGTAAATAAGCCACAACTACAAGTAATTACTACATCAACTGATCAAAGTTTGTTTTGAACACTTGCATGTATATTAGGATATTGACACAAAGAATACGTCACATATATTTTTCAGAAAATACTAATATGAGTATGGTAATATTAATAAAATAAGGTTTATTTTCAAATAAAGCGATTTATATTAAAATTTTCATGTATGTATTTTTGTGGATGTCAATTTGTTTATCCTTTTGTTATTTTACAAAACATTTAATTTGTATACCCGGTTCTTCCAGTGACCCAGTTTTACCGCGTCCATAAATTTTTGTCAAGGACTTAGCTGTTTTCAGCCAATCAGATTGCCGCGCAAGGCATCCTATTTATATACTTCTTGTTTACTCGGAGTGCTGCCGCGAAATTGTTGTGAACAAAAAAGCAACCACCACCTCTACTCCATCCCCCACATTTTTTTAAATTAACCACATAATTTTTATTTGTGTGTCCAGAGGCGCTTTTTATGTACCAGTTTTGTTTCCAATAAAGTTTGATGTAACAGTTGTATTTAACCGCATTATCACATCTGTATGTTGTAACAATATTGTAGCTGGGAGACCACTGTTTTGTAATCATTTATTGATCTGCATTTCTGGTAAAGATTTCCATGAATCTGGCATGTCTTCCAGCCAAATTCTTTGGTAATAGTTTTTATAAATGGATTTCATTTTTCGTAATTTAAATAAATGACAAGATTTTTACACTTAACATGTTTTCTGTTATGAATTTTGGAAACAAACAGAACTGCTATGTTGCCTTGGTCTGTCAGTAAAGTTTTAACATAAAGTAGTTTGTGGCACATGAATATGAGGACAATTACAATGATTGTTCATCATGCTAGTTCTTACGAGTGCTTTTTTCTGCAATTGTCAATTATTCAATTGATGAGCGTGTTTTTTCCCTTCAAAACATTGAATGGTTCCATACTCAAAGATGCCTCAAAATATGCTTTAAGAAATCTCATTCATGTAATATGAAAATTCATCATGTTCATGTTAATATTCTCATGAAATTTTTAGCCAAACTTTTCTGAAGTTGATATCAACTAATGTTTTTCAAAATATGCTCGATAGTTCTCATAAATATTCTCAGTTTTTCTCATAAATATTCTCAGTAGTTCTCGTAAATATTCTCAGTTGTTCACCAAATTGATATTCTCAGCTGTTTTCATAAGTATTCTGCGTAGTTCTAAATATTGTCAGCAATACCCATTCAGATTTTCAACAAAAAAAAATTCCATCTGCTTGCTGTAAAATTGCAACTTATGACCCTGAATCAAAGTATTGTTTATAGATATTGGGCCAATGATAAATGTTAGCAAATTAGAACTAATGAAGATAAACACAATTTATTTACATGATATTTCAGTAAAGAAATTGTACACAATTTTGTTTTTTTGTGCAACAAGCTACATGAATTTTTTAAATAGGCCTTGTTCCTTGTCACTATTAAGTTATCTCAAAATTTCTCAAATAATAAGACTTACTAAATTCTTCGATAAAATGATAATAATTAGCAAAAGGCGAGGCAGTTTTTGCGGGTCGGGAATTAAATGTGTACTTTTCAGAGTGAAGGAACCAATAAAACAGCTCGTCTTTGCAACAATTAATGCAAAAATGAAAATAAACAAAATATAACACTGCAAACACTAATTTGATAAGAATGTGTTCAACTATATATGTTCAGTCTTACGAAATTACTTATGTCTACTTGCATTTGGATTATGTAACTAAAAGCTAAGGACCCAAACACTACGCTAAATGTACCTAAATAATCTATTATTATGTAGAACTATTTTTTCTCCTCTTCACTGCCAAATTTGCCCCTGCAATATTGCATGTAACCCCAGATTATTCAGCGCAGTCTTTCTGGTATTTCCGTCAAAAAAAAAAGATGCAATTTTTTTGCACATAGGTAGCGCCTTATGGAGGTTTCCGGTTGCTCTTGAAATTGCGTAATCTCGTTGGATACATGCCATAAAGCGGCTAGCGAACACGCTAACCGCTTAGAAATGAGATTAAGTCCCGCCCTTTCGGTGACGTAAGTGGTCCAACATCTCAACGACCGGTTCAACATCTCACTCAGCGGTCCAACATTCATTTTTTTTATGCCCGCGTAGCAAAACATTAGAAATGTTAGATTTTTTAATATAGATTAGTGTAGGAACAATTTGTTAAAGGTACAAGTTCATTTTTGTCCCCCGCTTTTGCGAAAGCGATAAAACATTAAATCTCATTCGTCTGTCCGTCAGTATGCCAGTCTGTCCGTCCGTCACAAAAACTTTAACATTGCCCGTAACTTTTGATGGAGAGAAGCTGTGACTTTCATATTTCACATGTGTATTCCTTTTGACAAGACTTTTCTTTCGGTACTACCAAATTTGACCTTTTGACCTTGGAATTTGACCTACTTTTACACAAGAATTCCGAACTTTTACTTTGGCCATAAATCTTGAATGGTAGATACTAGGACTTTCACATTTCACATATACTTTTTTGTGGCAAGGCCTTTCATTGGATACCAACAACCCTGACCTGTTGACCTTGGAGATTTCTGTGCTTGTGAAAAAACTTTAACCTTGGCCATAACATTTTGACGGTAAGGGAAAGGTCTTTCATACTTCACATATGCAATCTTGTGATAAGACCTTTCATTGGAAACAAAGCACTTCGACCCTTTGACCTAGATCTTGGAGTTTAACTTACCTTTAAAAAACAAAAGTTATAAAGGGTTAGGGGTAAAGCTTTCATGTTTCACATATTTAATCCTTGTGACAGGACCTTTCATTGGATATCAAGAATGACCTTGACCTTGGAGTTTGACCTACTTTTGATAAAAAAAAATTTAGGTAATAATAAATCTAATTTGCATTTTCGAAAAATTTAATCTTCGCTTTGTTGCCACGTTCACAAAGACATATTGTTCCTTATCTTGATAAGAGAAGTGGCTTTCATATTTGACATGTGCATTACCTGTGACAAGATATTTCCAAGCATACTATAATTTGTGAACCATTAACCTTGACCTTCATAATTAATAACTTATTTTAAAAAAAATCCTATTTCAGTGGTAATTTCTAAATGACATATGATAGGGCGTTCATATTTGAGACAATATGTCATAAAATATGACATCTCACCCACAAAGACACACCGAAAACGGGGGACCACAATTCTAATTGAATTTGCTTTTTTTTTTAGTATTTTAAATAAGTAAAAAACTTGAAAATACAATAATATTTATATATACTATATTCCATTTGGGTCCATTTGATTTCCATTTATTTCCATTCGAGTTTCCATTTGGATTCCATTTGGGTAAATTGACACACCCTAATTTAGGACTGTTTCTTCATGAGATACTTCGATATTATTAAAAATTTAAGACAGACTGTTGAATCTTAAATAATATGCGAAGGGAACTAATAATATTTAAATATCGATTTTTTGTCTTATTTGCTTTAAGTGATGTATAAACCAACATTGTGTGACAAAATGTTGATTAAAGAATTCATTTATTAATGAGAAATCACTACTAAAGAAGGTGAAAATGCCTATCAAATGCGCTTCGGCTCTTTATTTTATTTTCAACAACTTCTCTGAAGTAATAGTGGGTTGTCCCAAAAAGTCGTAGACAATATGTATAATTTTTTAAACACGCAACCAATACTTACCAAATTTTGCATAGACATAATATTGTTAATGTTCTTTAGAATTGTGAATTTTTATATACATATCTTTCATATTCATAATATTAGGACGATTTATATGAAGGCCAATAAGGCCTGTCGGCGCACTGACAAAATTCGGAATAATTTACGCATATAACTACTACATTTGCTTTAATTTCTTTAGTACTATGTAATACATTGAACTCAAATTTAAATCACTGAAACCAGAATAAAAATTGTAATATTATGTCAAAATTTCATATAAATATCATTAGAAACAGAAGCTTGGTGTCATGATTTTCATAGTATAGTTTTGAAATTGAGTATGATGAAAAT